TCTCCAAACTGAAGTGCAACAAATTTCAGCCTTTGAAACAATAAAATATTTTTATTATGTGCTTTGTGAAATCTTCTTCCTTAATTACATCTTGCAAGCTCTGCGAGTAGCTGCACAAGGCGTGAAGGCTTGAAGATTAAAATGGAAGAGATGTTAGGATTTTCTTCATTTTAATGAGTTCCATGGTGTATTTTGATGCTCAGTCTATGAAGTTCAGGTACTGAGAAGAGAGTGATGCAACCGCTTGAGCAAGTAAAGTCAGGAGGAAAAGTTGAAGTGACTTGGAGTATTAATGGGCACCACTGAGGGCTGTTACTAACAAAGGCTCCCCAGGGCCTTATTAGGGCAGATAATTGGAAGCCATGGTTGCAGACAGGCAAAGCACTGTGCTGAGAAAAGTCTTGGTTGGTTTTAGTGAAGCAGAATTGGCAAGGCCTGACCCCTGGAACTGGGAGGGGAGATCCTGCACCCCCATGTCTGCCTCAAGGCTTTTCCCGGGGATCTGTGGGATGGGGTGGGCAGTGTGATGCCGTGATAAGAAGAGTGGTATGAAACCTCTGAGCTGTTGCATGTGTTGAAAGGAATCTATGAGGCCCCATCACAATGAATATAACATATCTCCTCATAAGCTCTAACCAATGGGACAAAACCTTCACGGCAGTTGGGGCATTCCCTTTTTATCAGCACCCTCTGCCTTCTCCTCCACAGGCTTTCCTATGCTGTGCCACACATTGCCCTATTTTCTTGAAGTCTGCAGACACCCATCTCAGTTCACCATCTTGTTCTCATCTTTAGCTTTCACTGATCTCTTGTCAACCCTCACCAGCTATTTATTGAAACACAAAGCAAGGGTCTGATCAGAGGGTGACATCTGGCACCACAGCATGACCCTTTGAGAGACATTTCTCCCTCCTTGTAACCAATGCCAGCCTTCCATGGAACACTATGTAGAAGTTTTTTCTTTCCTGCTCTTTTCTACTGCCAAAGGAAACTCCATCAGGGTGGAAACCACTCCTGAAGTAGGCATCCCAACGCAGCAGGCTCCTTGCAGCCTCTCAGCCAACCAGACACAAGTCACCTCAGCAGCAGCTTCCAAGCCAGGGGCCTGCTGCTGGACTTGCAGCTTCTTGGCTACACACAGCCAAGCCTTGTGCCTCCTGCTGCTGCCCACTCATGGACTCAAGCAGAAGGGACAGGACAACCCATATGGGGGCCTTCTGTCTGCCTGGGTCCTCCTGGGTGTGGAGGCAGAGGGGATCCCCCAGTCAGCATGCCAAGCAGGTGCCTTCTGCTGGCCTAGCAGGGCCACTGCCAGATGTCAGCCCAAAAGTGCAGATCCCAGGGAGAAGTCAAGGCTGACCTGACACCTCCAGACACAAGTGACCTCCCAGTCCCTTTCTGTGACACGTTCCTGCTGCTGCCCTATCAAGTGCAGAGACAGAAGTGACCTCACAGTCCCTGCCACAGTCACATTGCTCCTGCTGGGGCAGGAGATGCTGAGGCAGAGCTGAGCTCCTCAGAGCATTCCCACCCTTCTCCTCCTCGTGGCCCACAAGCTGATCAGATCCATGGCCCCTAGAATTCATTTGGTGTTAGGGTTTTGTTTAGGTCTCTTAAGCAGTTTTCTAGTGTCAAGTGGACCATTTTAATGCTAGTATTAAGGGCTGAGATCAGAGTGATTAAGAGAGTAAGAGTTAAGGGAAGCAGCTATGGGCTGAGTTTTGTCTTCTAGGGATACATTGAGGTCAGTCATTAGAGTAGTGGATTCCTGTCAGGGTGCTGAGTAGCATTTAGGTTTAGGAAATATGTTTACAGGTTGAAGCTGGGGAATACCCTTGCATGACTATTTTAAGTCACAGTTACAGCCGCATCAGCATAACCTGAACCCTCTTACTTCTACAAAATGCTTAATTTCGGCTGGCCAAGCCCCTATTCCCTCCTCTCAGTCTCACATTTCTCCTGGCCAGGCTTCTCCTGATTTCCCCATATCAGTTATCATTTTAGGGACATGCTTATGATGTCTTTCATGATCTTAGACTATCTGTCAGTGCTCTGTTGGCTACTATATTCCTGAGAAAATTGATACTTAATACACAATGGAAAAGGACACAAAAGTCCACCAGAGCACCATACACAATGTGTCCGGCAGCTTGGCACCATCACAAAAGTGTGGTTTCTGCCTACAAATTTTCTTTCCAGAATGGCTCCTATGGCTCCAGGGTAACTTTTCCCAGGCACTCAGTTTCCCATGCCATGCCACTCTTGCCCGCAGTATCTATGTGTCTCTCCAACCCTCCCCTCTTCCCCTGCAGTAGTGGCACCTTACTGCAGCAGGTTGGTGCATCTCCAGGCTCAGGGGTGTTTCCTGGTGGCTGAGCACAGCCCAGCCATCCTGCACTGTGGACAGGCCCCTGCTCCCAGGTTGAGGCACACATGCAAGGTGGACACTTCTCCATCAGCCCAGCTTCACGCAGGGACCTTCAACGCTGTCCTAGTAACAGGAGTGACCTCGTCCTCCTACTCCATCCACAGACAGCTGCTAAAGCTCTGAGTGTCTCTGTTTCTCACAGCTTTCAACTAAGTCTTTCTCCTGACCCTCCCCACTGCCCAGCACTGCCTCTCAGGTGGCACTCAGTGACCCTTCAGAAGGGCCTTTGGGCTGCCTCAGTTGTCCTGGTGCTTATTAGCACCTCCTTGGCTCCTTCCAGAGCTCAGAGGGAGCCTTCTAGTCCAGCACAGGGCCCTGCACTGGCTTTGGCTGGGATGGAGTTACTCTGTGCAGATCATCTCCTGTGGTTCTGTGTTTTTGATGTGTCTAGAGCAGTGTTGGTCACCCATGGCTCTGGTCCCTGTTCCTGAGCATTGCTTGCACAACATCAAGGCCTTCTCTGCTTCTCACTCTGCCCGACCAGCAAGGTGGTTGAGGGTGGGGAAAAGTCTAGGAAGGGAACCCGCTGTGACAGCTGACCCAGCCTGACCAAATGGATGTTCCATGGCACATAACATAGTGCTCAGCAATACATCATCTTTCCAAGGCAAGGTGGCACTCTCTCAGAGACTGCGTGCACAATGGTCTGCTAGTGGGAACTGAAGAGTTACAAAATGTTCATCATGTTTGGCTTTTGATTTTTGTTTCTTTCTTTTTTCTTTTCCTTTCCTATCCTTATGTGTCTTTCTCTTAACTTGTGAGTTTCACTTACTTATACTGTTCCCTCTGCCCTCTGCAGGAGGAGGAAGCAGGCAGCTCATACAGGTGTAGTGTCTGGTTGGGGTGAGCAAGGAGGAGGCTGGCTATGGTGCCAGGAGATGGAGGTCCGTGAAGCTGCAGGAGCCCTGCTCTCTTGCCTGGCAGATCCCCAGCACACAGTGCCTGTGCCCCGCAGGGCCAGCCCCGCTCCCCAGGCCAGCACAAGAGTCCTGGCCCAGCCACAGAGCAGCCTGCCCCGAGCAGGGGCCTGCACAAAGAGCTTTCCCTTTCCCCTTTCCCCATCAGTGCAGGCCCAGCAATGCTGCCCTACGCTTCCCCAGGGCCATCCCTGCTCTTAGAGAAGGCCCAGGGTAATGTGTCCATGCTGGCCTGGCCAGCCATTGCTGCTTCCCTCCCCGTGCTCCGTGCAGGGCCCCAAGCTGGCGGTGCTGCTGTGAGAGCCAGGGGCTGTGGTGACCCGGGACCCCGCGGGTCTTCGCCCTGCCCGTGCTGCTCAGGGTGGACAGTAGACTCAACTCCTTGGGGATCTCTTCTGCTGAGCCCCTTTCCATGTGCCCTGATGGCTCAGCAGCACAGGGCAGTGCTGGGCAGGGCCATGGGGTGTCTCTGAGGGCACAAAGGGCAGGCGAGTGCTGCACCAGACCTGGTCCATGAGGCCTCAAGAAGGTTATCCTCAATTACTCTACACTCTTAGGGGCCTTTGTCTGCTGGCACATCACCACAATTCCTGGCATGGCAGAGCTGTCCTTACCCCATGGACTCCTCAGATTCCCCTTTTTCTTTACCAAACTCCTCTTTGGATGGCCATTAATTTTATGAGGTTCTTATTCCTACCAACTCAGTGTTGCATGTTCTCCCTGTAGTTCCCCTGACATCTCCTGGCAGCTCCAGATTCCTCTCCAGGCTGACAGTGGCCATGAGCCCCACTGCAGGGGGGCAGTGCCATGCAGATGAGTCCAAGACCAGTTGCTGTCAGGTGCTGCCATAAAGCTCTTGGTCAAGCCCTTGGTCCCTCACAGACTGTCTTTGGAATTTAAGTCTATGTTCTTCATTCCAGGAAGCCCCAACTAAAACCCCATTTGTTACTGTGGTGCTAGCAGGGAGGCAGGGCTGCACAGTGACCCAGGGCTGCACAGTGCCTGCTGCTGCCTGCAGCCACAGGGATGTCACTGCAGAGACAACAGGACTGTCACCAAGCTAAATGAGATATCAGGGCTTACCCAGAAAAAAAGAAGCACAATGTGGAAGCCAAAAGAGAGCAGCAGGGAAAAGGCCACGTCCTGCTGCTGACCATGGCCATGGCTCCAGGGAAACAGCAGCCCTGACCCGAAGGCAGCAGAGAGGCAGAGCCCAGCGGGCAGTGAGGGGCTGCTCCTGCATGTGGTTGCTGGGCTCTTGGCCCTGAGCCCCTCCTGCGTGCTGGGGCTGCTCCCCCAGCTCCAGAGTAGATGGGAAGACAGGGATACTGAGACCATTGAATTTATGCTGTCTTCTTTATTGTCTATACCTACAGAGGAAGCCTAGTTCAATAGGTTGAATGGAAGATGTAGTCAAAGTAAAAAAAATTACTTAATAAATTAAAACAATATCAGAAGTTATGAAAATAATAAAAACAAAAAATGGTATGAAAAACTCTCATGTCAGTTTCTCAAATTGAATGGTAGCATTTAGAGGATTATTATTATTATTACAATATGATAATAATACTAAGTATAAAAATGGTATGATAAAAATCACAATAATGTTAACAACAGTGATGCTTAAGAAGCACATATAGAAACAATTTCCTCACTGCAACTTTGAGCTGCTGGTTCCTCATGCTGTAAATGATGGGGTTCACTGCCGGAGGTACCACTGAGTACAAAAGTGACACCACCAAGTCCAGAGATGGGGAAGATATAGAAGCGGGCTTCAAGTAGGCAAACATGGAAGTGCTAAGAAAGAGGAAGACCACGGCCAGGTGAGGGAGGCACGTGGAAAAGGCTTTGTGCCGGCCCTGACAAGAGGGCATCCTCAGCACAGCCCTGAAGATCTGCACATAGGACAACACAATGAAAACAAAACAACCAAATGATAAAGAAACACTAAACACAAGGATGCCAGTTTCCCTGAGATAAGAATCTGAACAGGAGAGCTTGAGGATCTGGGGGATTTCACAGAAGAACTGGTCCACAGCATTGCCATGGCAGAGGGGCAGGGAAAATGTGTTGGCCGTGTGCAGGACAGCATTGAGAAAGCCACTGCCCCAGGCAGCTGCTGCCATCTGGGCACAAGCTCTGCTGCCCAGGAGGCTCCCGTAGTGCAAGGGCTTGCAGATGGCAACATAGCGGTCGTAGGCCATGATGGTGAGAAGGTAATACTCCGATGACATCAACAAGACAAAGAGAAAGACCTGTGTAGTACATCCTTGATGGGAGATGGCCCTGGTGTCCCAGAGGGCATTGGCCATGGCTTTGGGCAGAGTGGTGGAGATGCAGCCCACGTCGAGGAGGGCGAGGTTGAGCAGGAAGAAGTACATGGGGGTGTGGAGGCGGTGGTGGCAGGCTATGGCGGTGAGGATGAGGCCGTTGCCCAGGAGGGCAGCCAGGTAGATGCCCAGGAAGAGCGCGAAGTGCAGGAGCTGCAGCTCGCGCGCGTCTGCGAATGCCAGCAGCAGGAACTCCCTCACAGAGCTGATGTTGGGCATTCTCTGACTTTCTACTTGCTTCTCTGTTGAAGAGGAGAAGGCAGAGCAATGTTAGAACAGACTTCTCTGAGGAAAATAGGAAATAAAACAGAACGGTGGATAACTCAATGTCAGAAAAATGTCAGACCAATGAGCTTTGCAGCATTGTTGCAAACAACTGAGCTGATTGTGGAGCAAAGCTGCAACTATTTCCCTCACTTTATTTTATCCTAGTTGTCCGTATAACACATAGGAGAGGTATTGAATGGTGGAACTCCCTGACATTACTTCCACACTTCAGGTGATATCCTGTGGGTGCCAAGAGGCAAAGGACTTGTCCTCTGGGGAAGACTGAGCAGAGCAGCTCTGCCCATCAGTCCTGCTCTCTGCTGCCCTGGCCTACCCCTCTATTAGCTACAGGACCATCCCTCTCGGGTGCAGCCCTGAGAAGAAACAGGAGACAGCTGAGAGCAGAGAAGCCCCACTCCAAGTGCAGCTGAACAGAATCTTCACCTTTTCTCCAGGGGACTGAGCAGGATCTCAGCTTTTCCCTCCGAGACAGGGCTGCAGAGGCCTCATTGCAGCTTCCCACAGACAGCCATCCAGCAGCATGGACATGATGTTAGTATGGAGGTGTCTTTTCCTTGGGCACCTGGATAACACAAGGATGCCACGACAGAGCTGCATCCTGCGGGAGAGCAGCCTGCAGCCCAGGAGGATGCCCCACAGACAGAGCTGGATATCTGAAAGCTGCAGTGTCCCATATCCCAGCTGCAGCGTTGCAGAGTCTGGAGGAGGCTTGTCCACCCCTCTCTTATCTGACCAGGGGTAGCTAGGTTATGACACTCCAAGGGACTTCTGCCAGACTTCCTCACCTTGCAGGGCAACCCAGCAGGACTCTCAAAGCCTACTGCATTGCCCACTGCCCTCCCAGAAACAAGACCCAGCAGGAGACCCTTCCAGGACCTGCAGCTGCATGGCCCTGCAGCCAGACCCTTACCTTGTCAAGGGCTGTGCAGGTTTCTCCTGCAGGCAGCTCTCAGCATCCTCCCACTGCCAACTGACTTCAGCCACTCTCTCCTTCTCTGCTCTCCCCATGCCAGCTGCAGTCACAGCCCCCAGTCACAGCTGTGCAGAGGAGCTGCTCCTGGGCACAGCTGTCTCTCTGCATCATGGGACTTTCTCAAATGTGTTTTCTCTCTCCCACGAGCCCGGCCCCTGCTCTGTAACAGAGGCCTAGCCAAAGGAATTGGAATCACCAATTAAATGAGCCCCTGAGGATTCATTTAGGCTCTGGTGCTTTAATGATTAGTCGTCTCCTCAAAAGCTTTAGTGGCAGAGACAATAGCCATAGCCATGGACACAAATATCTCATAAGGCAGCTCTGTAGAAAGCTGGCCTGGTTCCTTGTGAGAAGGCACCACTGCTCGTATGGCATCCTTGTGGTGGAAACCACTCCTGAAGTAGGCATCCCAACGCAGCAGGCTCCTTGCAGCCTCTCAGCCAACCAGACACAAGTCACCTCAGCAGCAGCTTCCAAGCCAGGGGCCTGCTGCTGGACTTGCAGCTTCTTGGCTACACACAGCCAAGCCTTGTGCCTGCTGCTGCCCACTCATGGACTCAAGCAGAAGGGACAGGACAACCCATATGGGGGCCTTCTGTCTGCCTGGGTCCTCCTGGGTCTGGAGGCAGAGGGGATCCCCCAGTCAGCATGCCAAGCAGGTGCCTTCTGCTGGCCTAGCAGGGCCACTGCCAGATGTCAGCCCAAAAGTGCAGATCCCAGGGAGAAGTCAAGGGTGACCTGCCACATCCAGAAACAAGTGATCTCACAGTCCCTTTCTGTGACACATTCCTGCTGCTGCCCTATCAAGTGCAGAGACAGAAGTGACCTCACAGTCCCTGCCACAGTCACATTCCTCCTGCTGGGGCAGGAGATCCTGAGGTAAAGCTGAGCTTTCTCTAGCCCCCTCGGTACTTCTTTTTCATTTTCTGGTTAGAGATTAAGCAAAGTTTTAGTGGGATTTTTTGTTGTTCTGCTTGTGCTGTCATGTCTGTGGTTAAGGTATGGACAAGCTTTGTGGTTTACGGGTGTTTTACGTCTGCCAGGGAGTCTAGGGTTAAATAGAGCATTTTAATGCTAGTTTTAAGGGAAGAGGTTATGGTTATCAAGAGAGAAAATTGATTCCTTTCAGAGTGTTGTAGTAGCATTTAGGTTTAGGGATTTAAATTACTGTTTCCAGTTAGGTAAGGGCCATATGTGACTTTTTAAATTCATTGTTACTGCAGTATCGGCATTGCAGGAATGCTTTTACCTCTATGAAACCATTAATTTCTGCTGGCCATGCTCTTCTTCCCACCCCAAAATCTCACATGTCTGTCCTCGTTTCAGTTAGAATTAATTTTCTTCCTAGTAGCTGGTGGAATGCTGTGTTTTGGCTTAGGATGAGAAGAGTGCTGATAACACCCCGATGCTTTAATTGTTGCAGAGCAGTGCTTATACTAAGCCAAGGACATCTCAGCCTTTTGCTCTGCCCTGCCAACGGGCAGGCTGGGGGTGCAGTAAGAGCTGGGAGGGAACAGACCCGGGACAGGTGACCCAAACTAGCCAAAGGGGTATTCCATACCATCTGATGTCATGCTAAACAATATGTAGGGGTGGCTAGCCGGGGGGAGGGGGCCGGACCGCTCGGGGTTAGGCTGGGCATCGGTCAGCGGGTGGTGAGCAATTGCATTGTGCATCACTTGTTTGTACATATTATTATTACTTTCCTATTATCACCATTGTATCATTATTATTATTATTGTTATTATTATTTTTGTTATTATTATTTTCCTGTCTTATTAAACTGTCTTTATCTCAACTCACGGGCTTCACTTTCCATTTCTCTCCCCCGTCCCAGAGAGGGAGGGGGGAGGGTGAGCGAACGGCTGCGTGGTGTTTAGCTGCCGGCCGGGTTAAACCACGACAGTCATTTTGGCGCCCAACGTGGGGCTCGAAAGGTTGAGATAACGGCAGATCTGATCAGAGTGTGTTAAACTAAAATTGGTGTAAGGATTAGACCTGCTTAATAGTCACTTGTCATAATGCTGATTGCTTTAATCTCAACTCTGCTGCGCCTGTTTTCCAAATTGAGTATTATAGTACATTATTTTCCGTATTTGCTCTCTGTCGTGTTGTTTATCCTCTCTGGGCCCTGGTTTCAGATCATTATGGTACTGTGTGTTGTAGCAATGGCTTATGAGATGATGAAATATGTGGTCATGACTCTAACTTGTTATTTGTATTCAGTAAGATCGTCGACTCTGTACTTTGGAAACTGTATCTTGGAAACTATTAGCAATTATACCTATTGTTTTTTTTCATTAGGGAGTCAATCTGTGGAGGGGAAAGGGGAGGATATTTTTCCTTACTTGCTTACTCTCCTTTTCTCCTTAACCACCCCTGTATCCTCCTGGATCACTCTGCCTTCCTCCTTCACCACCCTCTTATCCCCTGAGCTTGTCACAATAGCTCTCCAAGATATTGAATATTCTTGGGATACTCAGACTACCATAGTCTTGTTGTTCTGCCTCCTGAATGCACTTCAGGTTCTGCTTAAAGTTAAACAACTACTTAGGAATCTTATCCAGAGATCTGCCCGGAGGCAGTATAGTTGTGAGTGGCTGGGAGTATGGGTGGATATGGGCAGGCATCTAGAGCAGTTGGCACCCCCAGTGTGTTGGAAATTCACCCCTGAACAATGGCAAAATCCTCAAAAACTGGCAGAATGCTTGAAAAAAAGGTGTCATGATTCTGGCAGTTCCAAAGTAACACAAATCATTGTAACGTGCTGGGGCCTGGCTCATGCCTATTGAGCTGCCATTGATACTGCTATCAACTTAGTGACAGACCCTGCGGCCACTCCAAGCCCTGTGACAGATCCAACGGCCACTGTGACCCCTACGGTGGATTCTGCAGCCACTCCAGATCCGGTTCCTGCAGCCGCTCCAGCTCCAGCTCCTGCAGCCGCTCCAGTTCCAGCTCCTACAGCCGCTCCAGTCCCAGCTCCTGCAGCCGCTCCAGCTCCAGTTCCTGCAGCCGCTCCAGCTCCAGTTCCTGCAGCCGCTCCAGCTCCAGCTCCTGCAGCCGCTCCAGTCCCAGTTCCTGCAGCCGCTCCAGTCCCAGTTCCTGCAGTCACTCCAGTTCCAGCTCCGGCCGCTACTCCAGGTCCAGTTCCTGCAGTCGCTCCAGTTCCAGCTCCTGCAACTGCTCCAGTCCCAGCTCCTGAAGCCGCTCCAGCTCCAGTTCCTGCAACTGCTCCAGCTCCTGCAGCCGCTCCAGCTCCTGTGGCCGTGTCAGAGAAACGAGCTGTAGCAGTGCAAGTTGACCCTGCAGAGGGTATTCCAACCCCTGTGGCAGACCCTGTAACAAAGTCAGAGAAACGAGCAGTAGCAGTGCAAGCTGCCCCTGTAGAGAAGGTGAAAAAATGGTATAGAGATTCAGGTCGTTTAGAACGCAGAGAGTCTTCTGCCAATTCAGGCAAGGCTTCTGCCAAAACTAGGTATAGAGATGACGAAGATGACGACGACGCTGGGCCATCAAGGATTCAGGAGGAGGAAGATGAGGATGCCGAAAAAGCAACAGTAACTACCCGAAGCCTAAACGA